TCTCCAGATACACCCCAAAATTGGGCTTTTCTCAGATTTCCAAGACCTCGCAGGAGCCTTTGGACAAAGACCAGACACCAGTGGGTAGATGGTGTATGGTTAATCAAGGGAAAAAATTCGAAACACACAAATTTCGAAAGTAAACTTTATAAAATTAAAAGATCTTACCCAACGAGTATAAAATACTCAATGTCCTTCAATATTGCTTAATAGCAGTTCCAAAAAAAATAGGGAAGCAGAAAACCCTAGTCAGAGAGCACAGAAGAACTCTGTCGAACCCTCACACGAAAAGTCAAACGAATGAATAATCACTCGATCAAATGAAGCATCAAATCCTTTTTATATCACCAAAAAATGTAACCCTTCATCCAATAGTAAGAATAGTGTCAAGTGTCATCATCAGGTAGAATGCCACTTATAAAGTCGCATTTCCATAATATATTTAATAGACTGAAAATATGGGAGCATCAATACAACAGTTCGAGTCACAACAGGTGGTCTCTGAGTACTAGAGGCCTTAAACATACTGTGATGGACTCAACGGTGGGCAGTGACTGCTGTAGACCGCTGGGACACAATGTTTTCTTTTGATGGTTGTCGTCGTATTCGATCAATCAAGTTTTAGGATGAGAAAATATTTGATTGGCCCGCTTCATCAAGCACTTTGTCTACAACTCATGCAATAAGATAATATTTGCTCTCCATAATCCTTTGTAGGAGCTCAAAATTTCAGAATCTAATCTTGAAAGCCATTTTGGTGTTGGGTTCTTCCCATCATTTTGATTTGTTAAAGAAACCAATAATTGGTGGGTTTTTAAAAATTCCTTATATCAAGGAGATTCTTAGTAACCTTTTTTTTCTTATTTTGTGGTTGATACTATGACTTTTGGGAGAGAATACTTCCTTGAAAATTTTCATTTTTGGTCGAATTTTCCCTTTTCAGGGAAAACTCATTTCTAGTTTCATTTCACTCCAAAATTCGCTTTTTGCTTCCAAAGAGGTTTTTCCGTTCTTTTCCCAATAGAATATTTTCCTTCATTTCTTAAGGCTATTTCTAAGTTCACAGATGGGATAAATCGTTAAAAAATTAGTTGGAAGGATGCTCCAAGTTGCCAAAATATTTTTGTTTCCATTGACAATTTTCATGGCCAATCTCGTCACTGGAAAATTCTCTTTTTCCGATTTTCTTTGTTGCAACCATTTTTCAGCCCATTTACTTTCCATTGGCTCCATTTCTTTTATTCTTGGTGGCTGAATTTGCTATTTTCCAGTAAAAACTAATCGAAAAATTCTTCATTTTTTGGTGACCTTTTATATGTGGTAGAACATGGTTAAAGTATCATTTCTATAGATGGCGCCAATCTGTTAACCTTCAAAAAATGTGCCAATAGAATCTCGGCCTCACCTCCTCTACTTCAACCTCACCTCCCTAGTTATAAATGAAACTCACATATATATAGAAAATGAAAATGTGCCTCATGAGCTAATGGGCTAGATCAAGTTCCAAGCCCAATGGGGAGGGCCCAATATGAAATAATTTTAGAGGAAATTACACAATTGTAGAGGTTTAAGCATCACAATTCAAAAATCATGGCTGAAATTTCATTATGCAAAAATCAGGTATTGATTTAATAATTTAAATATTAATTTCACCCAATTCAAATTTTCAATCCCTAATATTTTTCCTCATCTTTCTCTCTCTACTGTCTTCTCTATCTCTCCATATTCTCTCCCTTCTCTCATCACAAAACACGGCGACGGCGGCAGAGTTCATAACGGCGACAACGACGACGCTTTGAGTCAACCTTACCGATGTCGATTTTGTTTTTTTCCTCCCTCTACTCTTCTGAAGCAACCTCACTTGATGGCTCCGTCGCATCTCTCTTCGATTTCTAGTCGGGTTCTTTGATCTCATCGTTGGCAGATTTAAATCTCTCTCTCACTCACTCTGGCGACTACTTATTTTTGTTTGTGGTATGGTTTTTGTTTGTGGTAGTAGTGGCGTAGGGATGGATCCGACTGTTGTGGTGGGGATTGTTGGATAGGTAGTGGTTATGGTGGTGGTGTGTGGTTTGTCGGTCATGATTAGTGGTTGTAGATGGTGTGATTATGCAAGTGGCGGCAAGGTGGTTATCTTGCAGGCGGTGTTGGTTGCAGATGGTGAGGTTAGGCAGCAAGTCGTGCAGGTGGCGGCGAGGTGGTGATCTTGTAGGCAGTGCTAGTTGCAGATGATGTGGTTAGGCAGCAAGTCATTGAAATTTTTTTCTGATTTGTGTTCTACGATGTTGGTGCCCTTGACGGTGGCCATGTGTGGTGGTGGTGTAGTTAGCGATGGTTGTTGGCACTGGTGATTTGGGTGGAAAATGTGGTGAGATTGTGCTTTAAGTATTATTATTGTGTTTGGTGGTGGCGGTCGGGTGGTTTCTAGCAGTGGTGGTTGGTGGCTGGAGAGCTAGTAGAGTTGATTGCCTAGGTTTTTGTTAGCAGTTGATTGGATCTGGTGATGACGATTTTGTTGGTGGTGATGTCATGGTGGGTTGGTTGTGGCAGCGGCAGCGACAACGACAACGACAGTGACAGTGAAGTGGTGAGGGTGGTGACGACGGAGGAAGTAGTGGTGGTACGTGATCCACCGTTTGACATGTGACCAATGTGACATTAAAATTTGATAATTGTAGTTAACAAATTTGAAAATATGTGACTAATAGATAATATGTGACCTATAAATTTTTCATCTGCGACTAATAATGAAAATTGTGATTTATGAAAATTTTGATTTGCGACCTTGAAATAATCTGTGACCAACAAAATTTTTGATTTGTAACTACGAAAAAATCTGTGATCAACTAAATTTTTTATTTGTGATTAGGAAAATATCTTTGACCAATTAATTTGATGACATATGATCAGTAAATAAAATATGTGACCTATAATTGGAGATCTGTGACCATTAATTGTGTGATTGTGACTTTTATTATATTTAGTTATTAAATGTTTTTAATTAATTAGATAAAAATCTGATTTTTGCATAATTAAGCTTAACCACCTTAATTTTGAAGTGTGCATACTTAAAACAAGGTTTGTGAATTTTTCCCATAATTTTATATACATAACAGATGGCAAATGTTGAAAAAAACCCCATTAAGCTTAACCAACATGTAGTTTATTCTTTTCAAATAATTCTGAACTCTATATCTGTTTGTTAACTTTTTAAAGGGAAGGCATCCTTACCTTGTAGAATCTGTCGAGATTTTTCCAGACAATTGTTTCTCTTCAAAGAAAATTGTCTTCTCATTCTTCTCTTTATTTTTGCAGCATCATCTTGACCAAGCAACATCGTGCTCATCTTATGATCATGACATGTCAATAAACCATGAGCAATGGATGGCTCAACACAGACGCATTTACAAGATTAATGAAGGAAAGAGAAGCGATTTAAGGTGTTCAAGAGCTGTTAATAAAATATACATGCTTGGAATCAAGGAATTTGTGGACTTAACCAATGATGAATTCCTTGCTAAGTATACCAGACACTCTATACCATACTTTCACACATCATCGAAAACCACTTTAATGTACGGAAAAGGAAAAGGAAAAGCAATACCAGCTAGTCCTGACAGTAGTTAGCCAACATCTATATCAAATTATGTTTAATAATGTTCTTCAACTCTTGTATTTCCTTTCATACTTCAATCAATGATTAATCCTTTCTGTTATAATTCGCAGAATCTTGTTAGCTGTTTGGAGCAGCGTCTACTATTGAAGGAACTGCTCAGGTAAAAAAGGGAAAGTTAGTTTCATTATTTGAGTGATGTAGAACAAATGACTGAATAGATTGAAGAAGAATTCGATCGAAAAGGAAAAAAAGGTAATAGTGCAGGTGTTGTGTTTGTGCTCCGGTTTGAACCCATAATGACATTTCAGAAAGAGAACGACGAAACGAGTAAAACATACTATTTTGCTGTTTGCTGCAATGTAGGATGGATTTTGGACATCCAAGTTCATTTAAGACTCAAAAATTGCTTTTAAAATTTTAGTGCTATTTTTATCATTTAGTTTATTTTGAATTCTTTGCAATTTTAGTTTGTTTAAAATAGATTTTCATGTAAATTCTCATAAATAAAGGGTTAATCCATCGTTTTTGATAATCTTTTAAGTTAATAAAATACGTGATTTTAATTTTCATAATTAAAAAGCTTCACCTGAATTTCTTGTTTCGTATCAAATGGTATCAAATACTAGACTATATTACTAATGATGGAGCAAGTTTTTGAATTTGTCGAGAAAAATTGAGGCCTCACCATAGACAAAAACTATCAGTACCGGGCAAAAAGAGGAACTTGCAGCAGTGATAACTGGCCATTAGATTGCTTCAAAAAATAATGAGAACGCACTGTTAAAGGCCATGGCTAACCAACCTGCCTCTGTTGTAATTAACCCAAGTCAGTTCCAGTTCTACAAGAGTGGGAATCTAACCGTCAAGTGTGGAACCGAACTAAGGCACACTATTGCAGCAGTCAGGTACAGTACAAGTGAAGATAGTACCAAGTATTGGATATTGAAGAATTCTTGGGGTTCAAACTGGGGAGAAAATGGGTACGTAAGGGTGCGAATGGACATCAAAGCCAAAGAAGGCATGTCTGTTCTTCATCTTAACACAGCGTGACAAGAGGCTATTCTTTTCTTTTACCTTTTTTACCCCCGACATACCAACAACTCAATCAATCCCCTAATTCACCTTCTAACTCTACAAATGGGCGAGGGCAGAAGTGGAAAATGGCAGGAAAATCTTTATGTTGTGTAGTGGAAGTCTACACGCTGGGTCCCAAACGATTGCATCATGGTATGGTGCAACGGTTTGAAATTTTCTAAAATGATCGGTAAATGTGCACCAAACAGGGGCTTAATAGTTTATTTCTTATAAAAATATTGTTTCGACAATAGTTATCAACTTCGACTCTATCCCTAGCTTAGGCCACTTGAATTATTTGATAGAATGATAATGGAGTGTTGCACTGGGCCAAATTACGTTACATTTCTTGGTGCTTTATCTGCTTGTGCCCATGCAGGATTAGTTGCTAAAGGACGGGAGATCTTTCAGAGCATGTATAGAGATTATTCGGTAAAACCAAGAATGGAGCATTATGCTTGTATGGTCGATCTCTTAGGACGAGCAGGAAGTTTGAATCAGGCTCTTGAATTTGTAATGCAAATGCCTGAAAAGCCTAATAGTGATGTTTGGGCAGCTTTACTTAGTTCTTGTAGACTACACGGCGATGTGGAGCTAGCTAACATAGCTGCCAATGAGCTTTTCAAGGTAAATGCTAAGAGTCGTCCTGGGGCATATGTTGCATTATCCAATACATTAGCTGAGGCAGGTAGATGGGATAATGTGAGTCAACTCAGGGAGGTGATGAAGGTAAGGGGAATACTGAAGGGTACTGCCTTCACTTGGGTTGGGAGTGATGCTGGTTTAGAAGCTTTCAATGCCGGTCAGAACTTGTGAGAGAATGGTAAAATATCAGTAACATCAGAATTTATCAGATTCAAAATATCAAGCTCATTGATATTAGACCAGTAAAATAGATCAGTAACTCCCTACTATTCTCGGCCCAGAGATTGAGGTTATTGATGATTGTCAAATAATTGACTTCGATGCTTCTGATTGCAAATGAAGTACTCTGGGGTGAGTTGTTCAAACATGGAGATACTTGTTCCATGAGCTTAAGATCATTCTTAATTATCTTCATGAAAAAGACAAGAGGAAGATGTCTGGTCTATCAAGGTTTGTGTAACATGATAAGAATCCAGAAATTTTTCTTTTTTGAAACAAGACGACTTGATATTCACATGGAGACTTTACCAATGAAGCCAACGTGAACAAGATGATATCTCAACTTTCACACATCATCGAAAACCACTTTAATGTACGGAAAAGGAAAAGGAAAAGCAATACCAGCTAGTCCTGACAGTAGTTAGCCAACATCTATATCAAATTATGTTTAATAATGTTCTTCAACTCTTGTATTTCCTTTCATACTTCAATCAATGATTAATCCTTTCTGTTATAATTCGCAGAATCTTGTTAGCTGTTTGGAGCAGCGTCTACTATTGAAGGAACTGCTCAGGTAAAAAAGGGAAAGTTAGTTTCATTATTTGAGTGATGTAGAACAAATGACTGAATAGATTGAAGAAGAATTCGATCGAAAAGGAAAAAAAGGTAATAGTGCAGGTGTTGTGTTTGTGCTCCGGTTTGAACCCATAATGACATTTCAGAAAGAGAACGACGAAACGAGTAAAACATACTATTTTGCTGTTTGCTGCAATGTAGGATGGATTTTGGACATCCAAGTTCATTTAAGACTCAAAAATTGCTTTTAAAATTTTAGTGCTATTTTTATCGTTTAGTTTATTTTGAATTCTTTGCAATTTTAGTTTGTTTAAAATAGATTTTCATGTAAATTCTCATAAATAAAGGGTTAATCCATCGTTTTTGATAATCTTTTAAGTTAATAAAATACGTGATTTTAATTTTCATAATTAAAAAGCTTCACCTGAATTTCTTGTTTCGTATCAAATGGTATCAAATACTAGACTATATTACTAATGATGGAGCAAGTTTTTGAATTTGTCGAGAAAAATTGAGGCCTCACCATAGACAAAAACTATCAGTACCGGGCAAAAAGAGGAACTTGCAGCAGTGATAACTGGCCATTAGATTGCTTCAAAAAATAATGAGAACGCACTGTTAAAGGCCATGGCTAACCAACCTGCCTCTGTTGTAATTAACCCAAGTCAGTTCCAGTTCTACAAGAGTGGGAATCTAACCGTCAAGTGTGGAACCGAACTAAGGCACACTATTGCAGCAGTCAGGTACAGTACAAGTGAAGATAGTACCAAGTATTGGATATTGAAGAATTCTTGGGGTTCAAACTGGGGAGAAAATGGGTACGTAAGGGTGCGAATGGACATCAAAGCCAAAGAAGGCATGTCATTGAGGTTATTGATGATTGTCAAATAATTGACTTCGATGCTTCTGATTGCAAATGAAGTACTCTGGGGTGAGTTGTTCAAACATGGAGATACTTGTTCCCTGAGCTTAAGATCATTCTTAATTATCTTCATGAAAAAGACAAGAGGAAGATGTCTGGTCTATCAAGGTTTGTGTAACATGATAAGAATCCAGAAATTTTTCTTTGTTGAAACAAGACGACTTGATATTCACATGGAGACTTTACCAATGAAGCCAACGTGAACAAGATGATATCTCAATGATGGATAAGCAGCAAACACTGGGATTGGTATATAAGCTATTGAAACTCTTTCAAGTTCTAAGAGAGAACTTCAGAAGCTAAGCAGACGATATACTAAGGAACAAAGCAAAGCCTGACAAAGCTAGCAGAGAGGCAGATTGAAATTTGTACTATCAAATGCCTATTTTGAATTGAATATCCAATCAATTTATTGAGTTTTTTACAATGAACATTACTGAATTTATCTCAGATATGACAGTTTTTCGTATTGTTCTCATATCAGAAAAGTGTTCCTGCGGGACTCGTACAAATCCACCAGAATATAATTCAGAAGCAAGAATTTAAGCTTCTTTTGCTTAGGTAATAGTGCAGGTGTTGTGTTTGTGCTCCGGTTTGAACCCATAATGACATTTCAGAAAGAGAACGACGAAACGAGTAAAACATACTATTTTGCTGTTTGCTGCAATGTAGGATGGATTTTGGACATCCAAGTTCATTTAAGACTCAAAAATTGCTTTTAAAATTTTAGTGCTATTTTTATCGTTTAGTTTATTTTGAATTCTTTGCAATTTTAGTTTGTTTAAAATAGATTTTCATGTAAATTCTCATAAATAAAGGGTTAATCCATCGTTTTTGATAATCTTTTAAGTTAATAAAATACGTGATTTTAATTTTCATAATTAAAAAGCTTCACCTGAATTTCTTGTTTCGTATCAAATGGTATCAAATACTAGACTATATTACTAATGATGGAGCAAGTTTTTGAATTTGTCGAGAAAAATTGAGGCCTCACCATAGACAAAAACTATCAGTACCGGGCAAAAAGAGGAACTTGCAGCAGTGATAACTGGCCATTAGATTGCTTCAAAAAATAATGAGAACGCACTGTTAAAGGCCATGGCTAACCAACCTGCCTCTGTTGTAATTAACCCAAGTCAGTTCCAGTTCTACAAGAGTGGGAATCTAACCGGCAAGTGTGGAACCGAACTAAGGCACACTATTGCAGCAGTCAGGTACAGTACAAGTGAAGATAGTACCAAGTATTGGATATTGAAGAATTCTTGGGGTTCAAACTGGGGAGAAAATGGGTACGTAAGGGTGCGAATGGACATCAAAGCCAAAGAAGGCATGTCTGTTCTTCATCTTAACACAGCGTGACAAGAGGCTATTCTTTTCTTTTACCTTTTTTACCCCCGACATACCAACAACTCAATCAATCCCCTAATTCACCTTCTAACTCTACAAATGGGCGAGGGCAGAAGTGGAAAATGGCAGGAAAATCTTTATGTTGTGTAGTGGAAGTCTACACGCTGGGTCCCAAACGATTGCATCATGGTATGGTGCAACGGTTTGAAATTTTCTAAAATGATCGGTAAATGTGCACCAAACAGGGGCTTAATAGTTTATTTCTTATAAAAATATTGTTTCGACAATAGTTATCAACTTCGACTCTATCCCTAGCTTAGGCTATTTCTCTAGGCATGTCCAATCCAATTTATGGGTTGTTTGACAAAGCTTTTGAGACAAAAAATTATCAAATTTTAATAAAAATTAATGAAATATATAGTTAAAAAGTTAATAAAAGTTGTGAATATTACGAAATATAAAATTAAAATTACTTGTTGACTTTAACATCAATTTTTTAGGTTTTTCCACACAATACTTATTTGTAAAAAAAGTTGGACCTAGTTGACATTTAGACTCAAATAAGGTAAGAAAATTCACTGAAGAAACATTTATATTGGTTCAATAACTCTTCAAGATCATAGGTTTCTACTCTGTATCGGCGTATAAAAATATTACAATTCTCTAATAGAACACGAATATGCGTTGTCAACCAACTGAATTTCACTACACATTCAACCCGCCAACGGTCTTTTCTCTTGCATCGGCTCTACAGCATTACATCTACTCAGACCATCCTTCCCATGGCCAAAAGATCCATTCCCACATCCTTAAAACTGGGTTCAAACCCAGTATTAATATTTCTATCAAGCTGCTAATACTTTATATAAAATCTTCTTGCTTGTCATACGCCCGCCACGTGTTTGATGAATTGCCTCGACAAACTTTGACGGCGTATAATTACATGATCTCGGGCTATATAAAAGATGGGCTTGTCGAGGAATCTTTTGATTTGGTTAGAAAGCTGTGTTCTTCTAATGAAAGGCCTGATGGGTATACCTATTCCATGATCTTGAAGGGGTCAACTAGTGGGAATGTAGCACGGTCTATAGGGAGGGAGGTTCATGCGCAGATTTTGAGATTTGATGTTGAGGTTGATGATGTGCTTTACACAGCTTTGGTTGATTCGTACGTGAAGAGTGAGAGGGTGGCGTGTGCGAGAAGAGTGTTTGATTTGATGTTGGAGAAGAATGTGGTATGTTCTACGTCAATGATCACGGGTTACATGAATCATGGGCGTGTGGAGGATGCTGAGGATGTGTTTGAGAAGACGGTGGAGAAAGATGTGGTGGTTTATAATGCTATGATTGAAGGTTATAGCAAGTCAATTGAAACAGCCAAGAAGGCGATTGAGTTTTATATTGACATGCAACGGCTAAGATTTATGCCCACCATATCAACTTATGCGAGCATCATTGGAGCTTGCTCTGTGTTGTCAGCTTTTGAAATCGGTCAGCAAGTTCAAGCGCAACTCGTGAAAACTGAGTTTTTAACCGACATAAAATTGGCAAGTGCTCTGATCGACATGTACTCCAAATGTGGGCGAATTGACGATGCATTACGTGTTTTTGATCACATGCCCACGAAGAATGTATTTTCCTGGACTTCCATGATTGATGGATACGGGAAGAATGGATGTCCAAATGAAGCACTTGAATTATTTGATAGAATGATAATGGAGTGTTGCACTGGGCCAAATTATGTTACATTTCTTGGTGCTTTATCTGCTTGTGCCCATGCAGGATTAGTTGCTAAAGGACGGGAGATCTTTCAGAGCATGTATAGAGATTATTCGGTAAAACCAAGAATGGAGCATTATGCTTGTATGGTCGATCTCTTAGGACGAGCAGGAAGTTTGAATCAGGCTCTTGAATTTGTAATGCAAATGCCTGAAAAGCCTAATAGTGATGTTTGGGCAGCTTTACTTAGTTCTTGTAGACTACACGGCGATGTGGAGCTAGCTAACATAGCTGCCAATGAGCTTTTCAAGGTAAATGCTAAGAGTCGTCCTGGGGCATATGTTGCATTATCCAATACATTAGCTGAGGCAGGTAGATGGGATAATGTGAGTCAACTCAGGGAGGTGATGAAGGTAAGGGGAATACTGAAGGGTACTGCCTTCACTTGGGTTGGGAGTGATGCTGGTTTAGAAGCTTTCAATGCCGCTCAGAACTTGTGAGAGAATGGTAAAATATCAGTAACATCAGAATTTATCAGATTCAAAATATCAAGCTCATTGATATTAGACCAGTAAAATAGATCAGTAACTCCCTACTATTCTCGGCCCAGAGATTGAGGTTATTGATGATTGTCAAATAATTGACTTCGATGCTTCTGATTGCAAATGAAGTACTCTGGGGTGAGTTGTTCAAACATGGAGATACTTGTTCCATGAGCTTAAGATCATTCTTAATTATCTTCATGAAAAAGACAAGAGGAAGATGTCTGGTCTATCAAGGTTTGTGTAACATGATAAGAATCCAGAAATTTTTCTTTTTTGAAACAAGACGACTTGATATTCACATGGAGACTTTACCAATGAAGCCAACGTGAACAAGATGATATCTCAATGATGGATAAGCAGCACACACTGGGATTGGTATATAAGCTATTGAAACTCATTCAAGTTCTAAGAGAGAACTTCAGAAGCTAAGCAGACGATATACTAAGGAACAAAGCAAAGCCTGACAAAGCTAGCAGAGAGGCAGATTGAAATTTGTACTATCAAATGCCTATTTTGAATTGAATATCCAATCAATTTATTGAGTTTTTTACAATGAACATTACTGAATTTATCTCAGATATGACAGTTTTTCGTATTGTTCTCATATCAGAAAAGTGTTCCTGCGGGACTCGTACAAATCCACCAGAATATAATTCAGAAGCAAGAATTTAAGCTTCTTTTGCTTACTAGGTTGGCATCAACGGTAAGGCTATTGTCACAAGTTAACTCTTCGGTGAGGTTTTAACCAGAGTCACTTTGGCAAGCAACTATTCTTCATCAAATGTCAATGACTTTCTAGTAATGCTTTTCAGTTAATCCAATGAGTTGTACGCAGCAACAGGGCTGTATCTTTCTTGATGACACGATAATTCTCATTGTTTGTTCCATATAATATAAATATCATATGAAAATGAAGTAAATTGTGCAACATTGAGATGGAAAGTAGATGATGTTGATGTATCAGCCAATCTGGGACTGACAGGGTACGTTAAAAATACATTATTCTGGAACGTTTGACCAAAAATTATAATATTATTGATCTTGGGAAAAAAATGTGCTAGTTTAGCCAGCGAAAAAACGTGTTTTAATTTACTTCTAACTTCCGTGCTAGTATATAAACTTGGTGTGCTCCATCGAGTCATTGATTGCATATCAGTTTGGCCGAGAAGAAGAAGAAGAAAAAGAGCAGATATGTGCTGTTGCCATGGTGATGATTGTCGGTGCCGCCCTTTGGGGTTTCTGCTCGGCCTTCCCTTCGCCTTTGTCTCTCTTCTCCTCTCCATAATCGGGGTTGTCATCTGGATTGTCGGGTTAGCATATTTTTCTTTTTTTAATATTGTTTAGTACGATATATTCTATGATATCGAACAGTAACGAATTCAAGAAATATTTAAAGAATTCTTTTCGAATTGTAACTAAAACTTGGACATGTATTGCAGGATTACGCTGAGCTTCTTGTGTCCCTGTTGCTTGTGTGTGACTGTGTTGGTAGAGTTCGGGTTGGCCTTAATTAAGGCTCCATTTTCAATCATGAAGTGGTTCACCAAGCAGATTCCCTGTTAGATTATATAATCTTTATCAAAAATTTCAGAAGTCGGAATTATTGTATTATCCTGTTAAATTCTTATGGATTATTTCTAGTTTTCCCATATTCTTTTCGGTGCCCTTTTTTTTTTTTTCCAATTTATTTGTGAACCTCTTAATTTTGTATAGTTAGTTCTAATTTCATTTCATAGTTACCAATTATTGTAATTTCATCTCATAATTATACGATTTCGTTTCTGTGAAATAGTTTTTGGAACAAAGTGAAAAAGAGTAGGCATTGGTCACTTTGCTGGTTCTTTTGCAATTCCTTGCACGCTTTGTGGATATGTATGTCCTGTGGGGTATGTTAGTGGATAAATTTTAATCTTGAAATTTTAGTGATCATTTGTCATAATTGTCTTAATTGCTTATTGGAATTTAGCCCTTGTTTGATGGGGAATAAATTAGATTTTAGTAAATTTTAATAAAAATTGACGAAATGTGTGATTGAAAAATTGTGGATTTAAAATTAATTATTGACTTTGATTTAAATTAAACTCTTTCAAGTTCTAAGAGAGAACTTCAGAAGCTAAGCAGACGATATACTAAGGAACAAAGCAAAGCCTGACAAAGCTAGCAGAGAGGCAGATTGAAATTTGTACTATTAAATGCCTATTTTGAATTGAATATCCAATCAATTTATTGAGTTTTTTACAATGAACATTACTGAATTTATCTCAGATATGACAGTTTTTCGTATTGTTCTCATATCAGAAAAGTGTTCCTGCGGGACTCGTACAAATCCACCAGAATATAATTCAGAAGCAAGAATTTAAGCTTCTTTTGCTTACTAGGTTGGCATCAACGGTAAGGCTATTGTCACAAGTTAACTCTTCGGTGAGGTTTTAACCAGAGTCACTTTGGCAAGCAACTATTCTTCATCAAATGTCAATGACTTTCTAGTAATGCTTTTCAGTTAATCCAATGAGTTGTACGCAGCAACAGGGCTGTATCTTTCTTGATGACACGATAATTCTCATTGTTTGTTCCATATAATATAAATATCATATGAAAATGAAGTAAATTGTGCAACATTGAGATGGAAAGTAGATGATGTTGATGTATCAGCCAATCTGGGACTGACAGGGTACGTTAAAAATACATTATTCTGGAACGTTTGACCAAAAATTATAATATTATTGATCTTGGGAAAAAAATGTGCTAGTTTAGCCAGCGAAAAAACGTGTTTTAATTTACTTCTAACTTCCGTGCTAGTGTATAAACTTGGTGTGCTCCATCGAGTCATTGATTGCATATCAGTTTGGCCGAGAAGAAGAAGAAGAAAAAGAGCAGATATGTGCTGTTGCCATGGTGATGATTGTCGGTGCCGCCCTTTGGGGTTTCTGCTCGGCCTTCCCTTCGCCTTTGTCTCTCTTCTCCTCTCCATAATCGGGGTTGTCATCTGGATTGTCGGGTTAGCATATTTTTCTTTTTTTAATATTGTTTAGTACGATATATTCTATGATATCGAACAGTAACGAATTCAAGAAATATTTAAAGAATTCTTTTCGAATTGTAACTAAAACTTGGACATGTATTGCAGGATTACGCTGAGCTTCTTGTGTCCCTGTTGCTTGTGTGTGACTGTGTTGGTAGAGTTCGGGTTGGCCTTAATTAAGGCTCCATTTTCAATCATGAAGTGGTTCACCAAGCAGATTCCCTGTTAGATTATATAATCTTTATCAAAAATTTCAGAAGTCGGAATTATTGTATTATCCTGTTAAATTCTTATGGATTATTTCTAGTTTTCCCATATTCTTTTCGGTGCCCTTTTTTTTTTTTTCCAATTTATTTGTGAACCTCTTAATTTTGTATAGTTAGTTCTAATTTCATTTCATAGTTACCAATTATTGTAATTTCATCTCATAATTATACGATTTCGTTTCTGTGAAATAGTTTTTGGAACAAAGTGAAAAAGAGTAGGCATTGGTCACTTTGCTGGTTCTTTTGCAATTCCTTGCACGCTTTGTGGATATGTATGTCCTGTGGGGTATGTTAGTGGATAAATTTTAATCTTGAAATTTTAGTGATCATTTGTCGTAATTGTCTTAACTGCTTATTGGAATTTAGCCCTTGTTTGATGGGGGAATAAATTCGATTTTTAGTAAATTTTAACAAAAGATAATGAGATGCGTGATTGGAAAGTTTTGTATTTAAAATTAATTATTGACTTTGATTTAAATTATAGAATTTAAATTATAGTTTTTCCAAAACAGGGGTTTAATGAGCTCTAATACAATATCAAAATTCTAATGTTTCATATTAAAATGTCAATAATCTTATCAAGAAAAGTGATCTATATTTCGATATTGAATTGATGTGAGATTTATCACTACTAATCCCCATCAAGCACATGAAGTTTACCTTGGTTTCTGCATGGATGACGTGATTAACAAATTTCGACTCTACACACGATCAAATTATTTATCTCTTGTACACTTGGACAAATCATTGTAGTCGGTGACCTTTTTTGAAGATGGGAAAGATGGTCGTAAGCACTACGAAAGGAACATCTATCAACTTATACAAGTATAATACGGTGTGTGACATACGGAACACGCGAGCTACAAATAATGTTCTGGCATCGACAATTTTAAGAGAACAAATATAATAGATCAATATTACCGTGAGCATATAAAATTGCATTCTTCAAATCCCATTAAGAGCCAGTTTTTTATAGTGGAACAGATTAAATGATTATCGTTGGATGAAAAGATATGTAATTTCATTTAATGATCAAACTGTCTTATCATAGGCGTCACTTCACCACCCTTAAGTTCAAGAGCATTTAATGATTATGAGAAGATATTAACCCTATAATTTAGGTCTAACATATGAAAAATAGAGTAACAAGTTGACTAAAATGTTCACTAGTAAAAAAATCGCATCAATCAATCATTCAGAAAATCTTGTACGAAAAATTTCTTGAAAGTGGTAAAGCAATGTTATGTATCATGTTGAGAGGCCAATTGCTTCAAAATTGCTCCACCGCAGGTTGTCCCACCTTGCTTCGATCATAGAGGGTTGGTTCCATATATGATGCTTTGAAAGAGGTTATGCATAACTTCGACCACTTTTATTTAATGGCCTTGATTGGATCGATAGGATGACGACATAGAATGTGGACATGTATTAATTTCTTAATTGACTATCACATTATTCGTGTTGCTTAACAATGAACATAATCCCACGCAGCCCACTTGATTATTTCTTAATTACAAAAGCCTAATCCCACGTAGCCCACTTGATTATTTCTTGATTACAAACCATTAAAGATTAGGGTTGTTCTTGGGTGGGTTGTTCCAGGGGCTTTAGCCTAAAACCAAGAACGCCTCCAGTTTTTAAAAGCTGGTCGTACACTGTATTTATAATCAATTAGTCCAAAGTTGTAAACTTTCTACCTCGCAAAAGAATTCTTTAGTCCTCAAAATGCCACCTTTTTCAATCTAATTCACCATAGTCAATATTTTAATCCATCGACACAATTATAAAACTATAATAATTGGGGTCCAAGGAAAAAAACAGTAGAAAAGTCGCAAGACGTTGGCACCGTGGCAGTACTACTTGCTCAAAACTGCCCGCAGTCTTGAAGAACATCAACGCTTCGACGACACAGTAGAAATATCAATATATAAACACATTCAAGATCCCATCTTCGAATCATCTGTACGCCCAATTTTCTTAATTCGTGATACTCAGAACAAATTCTGATTCTTTTGTTTAACAGTGAAAAAAATGGAAGCTATTGATGGAATCGGCTCCGGAATTCATCCGGTTCCAGTCCAAGCTCGCTCATCAAGTGGGACTCTGGGGTGCCACTTGGCTCGGCGGCTAGTCCAGATAGGCGTGAAGGATGTGTTCTCAGTTCCAGGCGACTTCAACTTGACCTTGCTGGACCACCTCATAGCGGAGCCGGAACTTAATTTGATCGGCTGTTGCAACGAGCTGAACGCCGGGTATGCAGCTGATGGCTACGCTCGTGCGAAAGGGGTTGGGGCGTGTGTAGTGACCTTCACCGTCGGTGGGCTCAGCGTTCTTAACGCGATCGCCGGAGCCTACAGTGAGAATTTGCCGGTGATTTGCATTGTTGGAGGGCCCAATTCGAATGACTATGGAACCAACCGGATTTTGCATCATACTATTGGACTGCCGGATTTTACTCAGGAGCTCCGGTGTTTCCAAACAATCACCTGTGCTCAGGTTAGTTTATTAACATTCTATCTCGAGATTTAGCTTGCTGTACTTAGAATCTGCATTTTAATTGATGTGATCCGAAGATAGCCAGTTGAAAAGTCACATTCAAGCATAGCCAATTGATTTTCTTTAAATTTCGGCAGTAGATTTTATTTATTTATTTATTTATTTATTTTGGCTCTAGTGTCAAAATGCAATCGAAGTTTTAGCATTAATTGATCTTTGGTTTGAGCTTGAATTTGTAGTGATTTTACTTGTTTTTTTGCTTGCTATTGGAAAAGATAAAAGATAGATGTTCAAATAGAGATTTAGATCTCCAAAGTGGTCGATGCGAAGGATATGCAAATTGCAAAATACATCTTTCTTTCTTCTTTTTTTTTTTTAAATTTATTTATTATTATTATTTTTTTACCTTCACTAGAGGCAAAATGTTGATTTAGATATTTTTATTGGAGCAGAATTTGGATTTATATCCATCGTGACATAAATGAGGATGCAAAACTCATCTTGAAAATACCAATTTACATCACCATTGGAGATGCTCTTTTATTTTCATTAGAAATTAAGTGTCTTAGAATTGTATGAGTTTTGCTTACATTTTGGCATACTGCTATAAATTATCTCAGTATCTTATTCAGAGTAAATTTAGAATTGATTCCATGAATCCTTTTCACCTCAATGTGTAGCTATTTCTTCTTAAAGGTCTAATAATATCATATTTTTACCTCAAACAGTCTCTAATTTAGATAGATCACTTCATTTTCCAACTCATTTTAGTGAAATTGCATTGCTGCTAAATTGATTTGTCGACCTCTCCCAAATCTCTAAATTGAATGTTTTTCCGATAGTTGCGAATGTTCCCAGCTAACATTTCCATATTTGCATTTGATGTACAAAATTTAGCAAATATTTGCAGGCTCATGTGGTGGCACACAATGAATATTCAAAAACCTTAGGTTTTTTCACTTAGTGGCTAGTTTGGTTGGGTGGATTAGACTGGGAAAGTTAACAAATTTTACTTTATTGCACTGTCTAATCCTATCTAATAC